AAGGCAACCGTCACTCGAACTTTTTAGTTTTTCACGTTTCTAATAGTTTTCTTATGAAAACAACTTTTTGAGTTTTTTACAACCGATTTTACCTGGAGTACCTAAAATTCTGATTTTGGTCTTAAAATAATCTTAAAAANTGACACGTGTTTTTTGCAACTTCAACTCAATGAAAAATATAGTAAAAAACAATATTTTTCAAAACCCCTCCATACGATTCAAGAAAAGGTCTTTAAGATTATTTTAAGACCAAAACCAAAATTTTAGGTACTCCAGATAAAATCGGTTGTAAAAAACGCAAAAAGTTGTTTTCATATGGAAACTATTAGGGACGTGAAAAACTAAAAAGTTCGAGTGACGGTTGCCTTAACAAAAAAGTATAAATTAAAAGCTCATCCTCACCACTCGCAGCCGATCGCCTTCTCCTCCATTATCTTAGTGATGGTCGACCAGCTGAAGCGTACAAATGTGGGAAAACCGAATAAAGGGTCGAAGGCCTTCTTGAGAAAGTCTTTTGTTTTCGGGTCTAAAAAGTGATTTAGAATATCATAAGTGAAACTTTTTGGTTGGTTTTGATAAGCGTCGGCCCTTACCTCCCGGGTACCCTGAACCGTATTCGGACTCTGAGAAAGAGATGCCCTCTTCGAGGAATTGCCAGTTCTTGACAGCATGATCTCGCGTCACCTTGGCGCAAATCGAAGCGACACTGACAATCTTGTAGATGGAGTCCGCCTTGTTGGAGACGACCACTTTGATGTTGGGAAAGAGCGCCCGCAGCTTGATCTGGTACTTGTCCGCCGGGCCCACCGTGTCCAGGTACACTTCCTTCAGTTGAACGCCACTTTCAATGGCCTTTCGAATGAGGTTGATGGCCGTGTCGTGGGATAGGGCATTGAGGTTGTACTTTGATCTGAAGCAGAGAAAGTGAAACTTTAGGACATTTTCAGTGTTGAAAACACACACACACACACACTACCTCTTCAACATGGCATTACTGATGACGATGGGCGAGAGGACGGTAGCAAACCAGCCAATGTTGTACTCCTTCATCTTCTCAAACATGGCACTTCGCTCTTTTTCAGTGAGCGTCTTTGAGTCTGCAAAAATAGGGTGAAAAAAGGTGTAAACAAACGTGCAACACGTCCTTTTTTCATACCTTGAAACTTGTCGCCCTTCAGATTGTCCTGCAGTCTGACCGGGTAGTAAGCGGCACCGTAGACCATGGGTCCTAAGACAATCATTTTTCAAAGCAAATGTTTCAAATCCTAATAAAAACCCAACTTACCCAGTACCGGCCCTCGACCGGCTTCATCAATGCCGAGAATGCAGTCCTCCTGCCGGGCCTCCTTGGGCACCTTGGAGCTGAGGTGGTAGAGCTCATTGCAGTGCTCGAAAAAGTCGCCCAAGTCTGCCATTTCCGAGTTAAAGCTTTCCTCGCTGGTTGAGATTCTGAAACAGGGGAGAGAAAACAAAAACAAACTTCTTTTGAGCGCGAAAAGAAAAAATCGACCGCTTTCTATTTCTACCAGCTGCACTTTGGCACTTGTGCAACTTTCATTTGGCAGGTGGCAGCTGCGGCTGTCTTCTGCAGTCAGCTGCAGAGTAAACAAACCTGCAGTTGGCAACAAAATCAATTTGTTTTCACACACCTCTCTCTTTCTCTAATATTAATTAGCTGTTTCTATACATTAAACATCTGATTACCTAATGATGCAATCTTAGGTAGAGGACTCCTAAGCAATATCTCATCTTCCTTTTTAAAAGAATGGCCCATCTGGAGCGACTGCAAAAGTCCTTTGAGGCGTTGAAGATCGTCCAGGTGACTAGCCGACTGGAGAGGGTGGCCTTTGACAAGGCGCATCCTCCCATTAGATTACTGTAAGTTTGTTTTATCCTTTAAAAAGAAAAGCTAACAATGTTACCCTTTTTGGTGCAGAAAAAATGAGGCTCAACTAGGCAAAAACGAGTTTATTCAACACTGCAATACCATCACTGAAAGCATCTGCTCTCCGCTGATAAGGTCAGTTTTAAAAGTCCAAGAAGTGGTGATCATCTTGCATCATTCAGTTAATCTTTTTATTTTTAAATCTACCCCACAGGAACCACGATGGCTTTCTGCGCCTGCTGACGCTGGCCTGTGAGACGCTGCTGATTCTCGCCGATGACGATGACACCGACGTACGACTGGCGGCCAACGATTCACTGGACAAGATTTGCCTGGTAAGTCTTTGCCAAAACTAATCCACAATCCATCTCTCTCTTAATCTCCCCACCTTCCCAGACCTACGAATCCAACCTCAGCCGCATCATCTACGTTCTCTACCGGGAGATCGAGAAGAACGGCTCCAGCCGATCGCTGCGCGTCGCCCTGAGCAAGTTCGCCGACCTGGTCGGTTTCATTCGGCCGGCCAAGTACCGCGCCTACATCAACAAACTCTTTCCCTGCGTCGCCCGCATCGTCACCACCCGAGCCGACGATGAGCTGCTGCAGGAGACGCTGTACAGCGGCTTTCTGGCCCGGGTGGCGCCCACGCTGGTGCCGTACGCCAGCGAGCGGGAGATCACCAGCCTGCTGGCCGCCTACCTGCCCAACCTGAACTGTGGAGCGAATCTGGTGAGGCGATCTGCCGCTTTGGCACTAGTCGCCCTCTGCAGTCACGCCCGGCGTCCTCAGTTTTGCTTCAAGTGGCTGCTGGGCAATTCGCTGAACATGCTCTCACTGGTGAAGGTTTCTACCACAACAAACTCCGCCGCCATTTCGAACCCTGCAAACTCTTCCGAAGTCGTCAGCAGCGAGCGCATCTTCAGCGGCATCTTCGTGCTGGCCAAGTTTCTCTGCCCGAAGGTGATGCGGCTGCTCGATACTGACAGTGCTGATGGTGATGTACTGAGTGGCGGAGGAGGAGGAGGAGGAGGAAAAGGCGGCGGCCCAGGTGGCATATCAGCGGAAGACTACGAGATCCTCTTCGACAACATGATCTTCCTCTACCAGCACCTGCTGACCAGTCTGAAGTACAGCACCAGCAGTGTGGTGATTGTGGCGGCGCTGGAGGCCCTTCTCGAGTACGTCCTCTCAATGCCCGGTTCGGTCTACCGGCGAATTGCTAGCCTCGGTGAGGGCGGGGATGGTCAACAGCAGAGCTCTGCCCTAACTCCCAGCTCACTGAACATAAACCTCTCCCGATCGCCCACTGCTCTTTCCGGTGGTGGCGGTGGTGGCCCCCTTACCTCTGGTTCCTCCTCTCGAATGGGTCGTGATCATCTGGATCGCCACCGCTACGAGAGCAACCTCTCCATCACCAGTTCCATCAACTACATTGAGAACATCAATGACGAGCAGTTTACCGCCAGCAGCAGTGTGGCTGATGAAGATGACGGACGCTTTTTTTATGGCAGTGAGAAGAGGAAGACCGCCTTGAGCCGACACTCGGGCAGTGCTGCGCTGTTGGACGGCAGCAGCAGCAGTGGTGATCACCACCAGCAGCAGAACTCCTTCTCTTACTCTTTTGACGACCGCCGAAGTGTGACCACCGCAGATGGAGGTTTTGCCGGAGGAGGTGGTGGAACTGGCTCAGAGTTTGGCGACAATGAAAGCAGCTACTTTGGCGGTGGAGGAGGAGGTGACGACGCCGTCTTCTCTGAGGTGAACTTTGACGCGGACAGCAACAGCAACAAATCGGAGATGAACTCGGAGTTTGGCGGAGACTACCACCACCGGCAGATGACCTTCGACGAAGACGTTCTCTCCGAGACCTACTCCTCGCAGAAGAGTCCTCTGCTCTACGCAGAACTGGCCGCCGCAGAAGGTGGTGGTGGTTCCTCAAACAGTCAAAGTGGCTCATCAAGTGCCATTGACCAGTTCAACCTCGGTCCGCTCTACTCGCTTGAATACGCCTCCAAACTGCTCTGTCTGAAGTTTCTGCTCGTCGGTCGGCGCGGTCAGCTGATGACCGATGAGGTGGTGAGGGTGAGCATTAAATCGCTCGCCCTTTCCACCTTTGCCGCCCTCGTCCACGTCTACCCGGAGGCGCTGCTGCTTGGCGTTGAAGGAAGTGGAGATAAAGATGAAGAAGGGGAGAATGCTTCAGATGAAGATGGAGAGCGAATCCCCAGCTCTAATTATCAGCCCTTCACCGACGTCCTCCTCTACTCGACCCATTCCGACCCCAACCTAAAAGGGGCAGTGGCCCTTCTGCTGGGCAAGTTCTTTGACAAGCTTCTCTCCTCGCCGGAGCCGTACAGCGAATTTTTAAGTCGCCATTGCCAAACAGAAACAAATTCTACCGATGTCCAGCTTGGCACTCTCTTCTCTCTACTGCGTCGCCTCGCCACCGACCAGTCGACGGCGATTGCGGTGAAGCAGGCCATTGCCGCCTTTGCCCTCTTTCTTCCCAAGCTGATCACCAACGTTGGTGGTGGCGGTGGTGGTGGTGATCAGCAACATCAACAGCTGAGCGGCGAAGAGGTGCTGGCCACGCTGCGAGAGCTAATCGCCCTCAAAGATCATCCCTACTGGCTGGTGAAGGTGGAGCTGGTGGGGCTGCTGGCCGCACTGCCTTACAATGCACTCGCCTACCTGGAGAAAAACTGCTGCTCAACGGGAAATAGAAACAAAACACTGCCCGTCTCTCTGCAGCGAACCATTCTCGAGGAGGTGGTGCTGCCCTTCAGCCTGGACGGTGATCATCGGGTTCGGCAGGCCACCGTGGGCTGTCTGGGGACGATGGTGGCGGGCAGCCTCTGCCTCAACTCCTACCTCCTCAACAGCGACCCCGTCAATGTGGCCACCTTCACGTGGATGCTCGACAACTACCACCAACGACACAGCTCCGGTCTGCTGGACCTAGGCAGCCGGCCGTTTCTCTTTGCTGATGCGCGCACCGTAAGCCGACCACTGGACAACGGTGGAAAAGAGGAGGATGAGCAAAATGAAGACCTGCACTTTCCGCACCAAATCGAGTCGACCTTTTCGCTGCCGCTTCTCGGTCAGCTGCAGCACAGCCTCCTCTCCTCGAATCTGCACTACTTTGTACGGCACTACGTGCACCAGCTGCGCACTGCCTACCATCGAAAGCAATCGCTGGCGGGCGTGGTGGGAGCAATGGCGGCGCTTGCCAAGCGGTTTCCGCCCAGTCGCTACGCTGAGGGCTGGCACATTGGCGGCGGTGTTGGCTCGGACGCTGAACATTCAGGGGAAAACAATTCATCATCATCAATGAACAGCGGTCTGAGCACTGCGACGCTGCTCGTTGAGTTGCTGACAAAGAGTGGCTCTACGATGGTCGACCTGCCCACCCACCAGCACTTGCTCACACTGACAGCTGACCTGCTGGAGGGCATTGTCTGTCAGCAGGCAAAGAGGCTGCAGGAGAAGTACTGTACCTCTAATGCCGTTTCCTCAACTTCTTCTGCCACTACCCCGCCTCTTCGTTCCTACCCCTCAGTGCCCACCTCCGAATCTGCCTTCTTCGCCTCCATTTCGCCCACTTTTTCCGCGCTGACGCAGGCCTTCTTTCTCCATCTGCTGAAGGTGCTGGTGGCTCATGCGGCCATTGCCGAGGACAACCCCGCCATCTTTGTCACCTTCATACACAATCTGCACAGTAAGCACCACCACCATCAGCTGTCTTCACTGCTGAAGAGTAGCACCAGCAGCGGAAGCAGCAGTGGTGGAAAACGGCCCGGAAGTGCAACTTCAGCCTCTTCAAAGGGCGGTCATTTTGGCGGCCGTGACAAACCGCTGCTGCTGCTGGAACCGGCGGCGTTGAAGAAGGAGCTCGCCAGCAAGGGCTCAAAGAAGATGGAAGCATTTGCCTACGACCCGCTGTACCTACGGCTCTTTGAGTACCTGAAGGCCTACCACCGCAACAAGAAGAGCTCCATCGGGGGCAAGGCGGAGAAGTGCGCCCTGCTGAGCACCTCACTTCGCTGCATGGGCCAGCTGATGGAGGTGGTCGATCCGCACTCCCCTTCCTCATCACCTTCCTCCTCATCATCTTCATCTCCGACGACAGTGTTCCACCTGTTGGAGGACATTCTCGTCTACCTGCGACTGGTCTTTGAGCTGGACCCCACCTCAGTGGTGGCCACCGTCCGCCAGCTGCTCCGCTGTGCCTTTGCCGTCAACTACGTCTCGCTCTTTGTCGACCTGCTCGCCGANTCCGCTGTGCCTTTGCCGTCAACTACGTCTCGCTCTTTGTCGACCTGCTCGCCGACCAGCTCAGTGGGCGGCTGGGGCCATTAGGGTCATCATCAATTTCTTTGGCCACCTCAAGTGCGACCATCACCACGCCTACAACTGCAAACACGACCACAACCACTCCCACCACGACAACTGCCTTCAAGTGCGAGCACATGAACAGTCTGTACAACAGCTGCCTGAGCATGCCCTACAGTCGCCTGAATGAGTTCTACA